GAGATATTTCTGTGGCTCTTGGACGTGTTTCTAAAACTGCCTTTTGCGAGATGGGAAGGAACAGAACTCTCAAAACACGTGCCAAAAAGCCTCACTGTATTAACACATAGTTTTATAATTGTGTGTTGTGTTTCTGGACGCTCTTACACCTACGGACCAGTGAACTGACTGTGATTTTCCTTTTTTTATTTCAGATGTTTCAGTTACTCATTTAGAAATAGCAAACTGCAATAAACACAACACTGCAATAAATCCCTGGTGCCTGACAGATGGTTGCCAACCCGGTTGTGTTTTTAAAACTGTTTGCAATTAGATGGCTCTAACGGAAAGTGCAGAGTACAAGACCAGCTTTTTAAAAAAAAAAAAATATAAAATTAATAATATGTATTTTTGACAAGTGCTTTTTCCCTCCTGGAAAATCTGCCTTTCCCTCACCCATCCTCCCCAGTTCCCATCTACCTGTGGGTGTGTGGGAGGGATGGGGAAGCGCCATGGCTCTGGAGAGGACTCCAGCCTCACAGGCATTTTTCTTCTGATTTGAGAGGAAGGTGTGTTACTGGCCAGATTATTGAGCCGTGACGATAATAACTCAGGAACTTGGCAGTATTTCTAAGACTATTTTTCAGACATCTTCTGGAGCAATTTTCTAGTTTCTGGGAAGAAGGATTCTGTTGTAAAAAAGTAAAACTGTATTGTATAAAAAAATTAAACTGTATAGTAAAAGGGTAGTTACACTATTGGGTGCAGAAATGCTTTGGCTCATTAGTTCTAATTCAGGTAGAATTTTTTTTTCACTAGAAAGTGCATAAAGTGTTTGTCCACACTCTGTAAGCCAAAGGAAAGTTGTCTATGAAATGTTTTTTCCGTTAAAATTATCAAGAACAGAGAAAGCATGGGAACGTGTCAGTTTGTTGGAGAAAAAGAAGGGGAAATGCTTTGTTTTGACACTGCATAAAATCTTCCGTTTTCATTCCAGAATGGGTTTTTATTGTGAAATTGTCTTTGTATGTCTTTTGGGGAAAAAAAACCAAAGCCCAAACAAAACCTGACAAAAGAATACAATTTCATGTTATAAAAAATATTCAGATTTTTCATTTCTGCATTTTGCATTTTTATTTTGACCTTTTTTTTTGCATTTTGAATTTTATTTATTTATGTATTTATTTTTTCTTTTTTATTTTTACTTTTGCTCCCAGTCTGAGGTCAAAGTCACAACCTTTCTGGGAAAAACTGAAAAATGGAGGTTTGTCTTAAAGAGGTAACCACACTCTGTTAACACTGACAAGTGAGGAAATTCCCTGGTGGGGGGGGTGTGCTCCTGGCTGCGGCGGTAGTTGATAGATGGCTCACTAATATTAAATTCACTGTGCTAAGAATTTATTCAAACCCAACGTTTTTCAAGTTTTCCCCCCCACCCCATGCCTGCAATTTCAATTCTCAGTTTTTAACTCCACTTGGAGATTGGAAGATTTGAAATTTATGATCTAGTAAAAAGTGTGTCTTTGGCTGAGACATCTTGAGTTCAGTGGGTTCAGTCTCCCGTGTCAGACAAATCTGGGTTTCCAACAAGCTGTGTGCCAGCTTGGGCTGGAAGAAAAGATCCTATAGAGAGGGAGGTTAAACACAGCTTTCAGCTGAAAAATAGTCAGCCTTTATATTGAATCTGAGCATAGAAATTCTAGTAAGTAGCAAATATAATAAATCTGTTTAATCCCTGAATCATGTAGTATTGCTTTTCCTTTTAATTATTTATTTATGTGGAATTCAGAAGAACCAGAATGAGCTCTGGATCTTTTGAATATTTACTATATCCTGGTGCCATTCAGATATCTAATTAAGTCATTGAACAGCTGGAAGTTGTGCTGTTGATGGCAAAACAGTAACAATTTGAATGTAGAAGATTTCCCTTTTTCTGCCTGTTCTGAATGATAAAAACTTTAGTGCATTAGACTTCCTGCCCAGTTTTACTTTGCTTTGTTCCTTTAATATTTCTTGCAAATTAAAAATGGAAATGCAACCAAACAATTCTCTAAAGGTCACTCATCTCATTTTAAAGTTAAATCAAATATCTACCCTAGAAATGTTTTGCATGTGAATATTTACATATAGCTTGTTATTCTTTTAAAAAAAAATCACATCTGAAATCGATTTGGTTCCTTTCATTATGGATTTTTCACTGAAAATTATATTAGCCATGGTGCTTGCTTTTCTGAATGAAAACTAAATCGCCCTGTTGGCAGCACCTCCTTGTGCAGAGACTCCCAGGAGGGGGTGTTTGGTGCTGAGACGGGCCATCCTGACCAGCTTATTCCCTTATTGCAAAGAAGAGTCATTCCACAAAAGGGTAAGGTGTATTCCAAATAAAAATTAGGCATTAATTCTGTAAAACATTCGCCATCATTGCTGCAGCAGGTGGGAATGAGAAGGCTCTGGTGGTTTTGTCTAAGTTAAAGAGTTAAATTTAAAGTTTTCTACGTGAAATTCTTTTCTCCTTGGCTCCTGGAACAGAACTGGTGAAAAGTTGGGTATCATCTGATGATTTTTTTTGCCATTTGCTTCCAGCCTTCCCACCCATCTATATCTGTGTTGTCCTTTCCATTATCTACCTTCAGATTATAAACTCTTTGGAGGCTGCACCATCCCTCCATGTGGTGGTGCTTCCCCCCGACCTTCCCAGCTCCCGGGGCTTCCTTCGGATCCCTTCCCCCCTTGGGTAGGAAGTTCCTTCAGTGGCATAATTTTCAGAGGTGACCTCTTGCAGCATTTTGGGATCAGTTTTGTGCGTGGCATCCCACCTGGGATGTTGCTTTGGATAAATCAAGAAGCTAAGGGTTTTGATTTGTGAAATTAAGTAAAAGACATGGATATAACTGCTCAGTAGACGGAACTAAAGACAAAATTAATAGTAACTGTAGCTTGGCACTAAAATGATTGACTGATTTCACACAAAATAAAACAAAGTGGAAGGCATCTGTGCGGTGCCACAGCCAAGGTTATCTGGTATAACCCTGCTGTAGATGGGTAAAAAACTAGCAAAACCTCTCTCACACCACTCATCTTTAGATACCCTTGCCTCACGTGTGCATACATTCCTCACTCTTCCTCAGAGCATTTATTTATTGATGGGGGCTTTGTAAAAAAAATTGTAGGAATTTTTAGTTTGTGTACATTTTTAAGAAAGATTCTTAAAATTTTTCAGTTGAAAGTTTGGAAAAGTAGCTGTTTGGTTTTTATTTTTAATTCTGACAATCCAGACTATTCAGGATGACCTGGAGGGAAATGGTATTTGAAAATTGAACTTCACGCCTGGCCTTTTCCATTTGTGTTTTCCTTTATTTCTGCAGAAAGAGGATGCACAAAGGAGAGTTTCTGTGGGTTTAGGAAGCAGATGACAGTGCACAAAGCCCTGTGTTTTTATGCACCAGCGTGTTTTGATTTTTAATTAATGGTGTTTTTTGAAAACTTGAAAGCAGGTCAGTAGAGGGGTGAGCTCAGATAGAGGTCAGCAAGTGAAAATGAAAGAGGGTCGTCCACCCCTTATTGAGTGTGTTGAGGGGTGGGGGATTGTATTTGAAATTTTTTAGTTGGTCTTCAAATGGATAAAAACAGTTACAAAAAAGGGAGGAAACTGTTATCTAATCAAAGCTTCTCAGTCAACTAATGACGTCAAGCAGTAACCTTCTCTTTCTCACCATGTTTCCTTTGGACTATAAACTATTTAATACAGCGAGGAATTGCCTCATCCATCATAGCAACATAGCACTTCTCTGTGTTTTGCTGCGTGGTGGGTTTATCAGCTGTGGGCATGGGAAGGAGGTGAAGAATAATATCCTCTTTAATTTGCAGATTGGAATGTGGGGAGAAGGAGTGGCCCAACTGGCATCCGGCCGGCACATGGGGTCATCTGTCTTCTGCTAATGAAAAATACTTTAATGATGGCACCTACCAGGTGCCAGGATGTGAAATACATGTGTTCTGTGTTGTCCTTGTGTCTAATGTGGGTTTGAGGGACCTTACCATAGGGACATGACTGCACATGGTCTTGCTGTGTCCAGTTTTGGGCACCTCATGACAAGAACGTCGTTGAGGTGCTGGAATGTGTCCAGAGAAGGGCAATGAAGCTGGTGAGGGGTCTGGAGCACAAGTCTTGTGAGGAGCGGCTGAGGGAGCTGGGGGTGTTCAGCCTGGAGAAAAGGAGGCTGAGGGGAGACCTTCTCACTCTCTCCAACTCCCTGAAAGGAGGGTGTAGCCAGGGGGGGTCGGGCTCTTCTCCCCAGGAACAGGCGATGGGACAAGAGGAAATGGCCTCAAGTTGCGCCAGGGGAGGTTTAGGATGAATATTAGGGAAAAATTCTTCACTGAAAGTGTTATCAAGCCTTGGAACAGGCTGCCGAGGGCAGTGGTGGAGTCACCATCCCTGGAGGGATTTAAAAGTCGGGCAGACATGGTGCTTAGAGGTATGGTTTAGTGATGGTTTGTGTCAGTGTTGGGTTGATGGTTGCACTCGATGATCTGAAAGGACCCTTCCCACCTGGACAGTTCTATGATTCTATGACTCTCTGACTTGATGGCTGTGGGTGAGAAGGATGAGCTCTTCCTTAGCGCACTGGGGGATGAGAGCGGGTGCCAATCCTTGTCACAGAGAATATCTTACTTTTTGGTGGTTTCATCATACGACCTTGCTGTTAGAAAGAATAATTCTGCCTTCTGATGTTGTTTTCAGCAGCACACCTCTCTTTCTTGCTGTTTCCAATAAAAGTAATGATGCTACTGAGGATCTTCAGAGGTGGCCTGAGGCGCACAAGGGTAATTAGAGCAGGTGTAATTTTAAATTTAGGTTTTGTAAAGAACAGCGTGGCATCACTTTTCTGAAAGGGAAGCTGATAATTGTCAAATATTTAAAAATTAGCAGTGAAATCGCGGTTGGCGAGTCCTTGCAGTAGCAATATTTTACTTATGCCCGTCTAGAACATGAGTGTCACGGATTTGTTTTTCCTCAGAATATGGTGGCATGGGCTTGGACTTCTCATACAACGTTGCAGTGGCAGAAGAGCTGGGAAATATCCGCTGCGGAGGCATTCCCATGGCTATCGGCGTGCAAGCCGGCATGGCTACTCCCGCTCTCACGAGGTAATTTTCAGAAAGTCTGGTTTAGCCTAAAACCCAAATCCTGTGTGTTTAAGCCTAAAACCCAATCTATATAAGACTAGAAAAAAAAACCCCATTACTGTGCAGATTTACTGTCTAGTTGCTCTTCAGTGATGCTTGCGGAAGGAACCTAGTCTATACCTCTCTCAGACACGTTAGGGGGGAAAAGACATATGTTTTTAATATTAGAATATCATAAATTAAAACAGGCCTTGTTTTACAGTAGAAGATATGTTTATAAACACAGACCCTTGGTGCCACAACCAATAAACCAATTTTAATTCCAGAATCTCCCTATTCATGTTTGTGTTTTTCCTAGCCAGATATCCCAGTGCAGTTAGTAAGGATGCATTTAGTTGCAATGATTAGTCTAATTCTATTTTATAATTTACTTGCTCTTTTCCAGCTTTACAAGGTGCTTATCACTGACTGTGACTTTTCAAAAATAATGATTTCAGTCCTACAGTTGTAGCACTTGTGTCATGCTTCCTAAATACTCCCATTCCGGGCAATTACTCATTTTGCTTTTTCTCATCCGCTTGTGTTGGTGTTCCCCTTTCACCACTCGCTGTCTTTCAGGCTCCTGCACTTTCTCTATCTGTTTGGGTTTTGTTTTCATCCCTCAGTAAAAGCTGCAGTTACCAACTCCTCCTTCCTGTAGTAGTTTCACAGACGTTCTCCATCAAAGCAGCAGCTTGCAAAGCTGGAGGGAGGTGACAAGGTGGTCCAGCAGCTTGCCCCTGGCAATCACTCTTAACCAAAACCTTTCAGGTAGTTACATCTGCAGGAGGTGGTCACACCCACCAGGTAGCCTCATACAGGCTTCTCAGGGGTGTTCTTTCCAGAACACAGCAGTAGCTCGAACTGAACAATTTACTTCATAAAATCTTCAAATAACTGAAGCTTAAAGGCTTGATAAAAACTGGGAGCCAGAGTGCTTTTCCTACTCCTTTTTTTTCTTATGCCACCTTTCACAAAAAGTAAGTAAGTTTTCTAAATGCATTTTTTTAAACTCGCATCTTGTCCCATCTTGGCTGAAACGGGGACTGGAGGAGAGAAAGCTGGTTGCAGCGTGGATTCCTTTAAATCCAGGTTATGTAAATGACTGAATTTAACGAGGCTGCTGTGCAGCCCAAGGGTGCTGCCTGCTCTTCACCGTGCAGTTCCTGTGTCTGTAATGAGCATCTCTCCCCTTTTGCTTTTTCCTGTTTCTTTCCCTGTATCTTGAAGATCCTAGGAGTACTGCTGAGCTGCACCTGGGCATCAGATGGTGGGATGCCCATGCAGAACTCCCCTGAAGCAACAGCGTGGCATGTAGCTCCTGTATTAGTAATAGTGGGAGCAGGACTTTATTATTACAAGTCTGGGAGCAGGACAGAAAGAGAACTGGGAGGAATTCCCCTCTGGCTGGTGTGAGGAGGAAAGTGGCAGCAGGTCAGAGTTACTCTCTCCTTTGCCCAAAGGAAATCTTTATATTCCTAGGGAGTCCCTGAGTAAACTTTTGTATTGTCCTTGAGATACCTTAGAACAATGCATAGACCATCTGAAAACTTCACGTTTCTGCTGTATGTTTGCTTTGGTGATGAGTGGTGCTTGAGTGTGAGCTCCAGCACGGGAAAGCTTGAGTTGATCAGTCACTGAGAGCTGTGTTGGAGCTGCCTGCAGCTCCTCACACTCAGAATTTCAGTCTGCACGTAGTTGTGTATCATACCAGTGTATTTGTCAGTTCTGCTCAGAACTCATTAATTTAATTCATTCACTTCAGCTCAGCATTTTTCCCCCAGAAGCAGAAGAAACAAAAGCCAGTAACATCTGCAGTTCTACCAAGGTGATTGTCAGCCCAATTGAGGCAGAATAGTGATGTGCAATAGGCATATTTTCATTCAATGTAGCAATCTAACCTGTCAGAAACCAGTTTTTCATGTATTTTTGAGATGAATGAAGGTGGCTTCAAATTGATAACTGGCAGAGCACAGAAGCTGAACTATGTGGATCATGGAAGTGTTCTTACATCTGTATTTTGCCATGGCTTTATTTTGCTTTTACCCAGTATTTATAATATAGGTTGTCGACCATTGTCGTTGTTGTGTTTGTATTCATTATGTCCCACCAGTGTTACTGAGAAAGTGGGGATGAGGCAAGGACGGACCACTTCCACGCAACTCTTAAGGGGTCAGAGTCTCACATCTGGGAAATGGGTAGCATTTTACAGAAACAACAGATTTGTAGAGCAGTAACTGGCTGCTTGCTGGGCTGCCCGTCCTTCTGCAGGGCGCAGAGACCCGTCATCTGCTGAGGAGAGAGTTGCCAGACTCCTCTTTTGTTTTTTAATTGCAAAAGAACTTCTTCTGTAGCGTCATTTTTGGGAAGAGCTGAACTGTTTTCTGGAACTTAAACCAACCAAACAAAGATATTAAACCAAAAATGTTATTCTGAGGAATGGTCTTGTCATGGAAATCCTCTGTTGAAATAACTAGAGGTTGGCAAAGCTTTAAGCATCACAAAGCATTGCCAAAAATCCCTGCTAGCTCCTCTCATAATCTCATTTTTTCATGTTGTTGGTTGGGGTTTTTTTTGTCTAATGAATGTTCAACTGGCCATACTTGATCCCAACCCAAGGAAAAGCCAAAAAAACCCAAAAGTACACTGCATAACAAAGCAGGGGGCTTTGTCCCCATGTGCTGGAGGAAGGAGTAAACACTCCAGGCTCGCTTCTTGTATTTATTTGGGATAAACAGGCTAAGGAGGCACTTGACTTTCATGTGTTTCTGCTCCCAGAAGAGGCATGTCATGCCCCGAGGAATTTTTCAGTCGAGCACAAGGGAGGCTCAAGAACTAGACCGGGAGCTCACCGTTCACGCTGCAAGTGAATGTTAATTAGGACAAAATCAACCGTGAAATGAGGTGAACCATGTTTTGGATCGCTGACAGCAGCTACATGTTGGGGGAAAAAAAATAGGGTGTCTCTTAACTGCATTGAAATATGGCCAAGTGAATTTTAGTGTTTAAATGCCACCAAGAGTTTGCTGTTTCCCTCTTTATTTTTCTAGGGACTAAAAGAGCAGCTGGGGAGAAGCACTAATAGATTTCCCTGTATGATCTATGCAGATGTAAAATATTAATAATGTAAATACAGCTGTTTGCAGAGGGTGGTCATCACGTGTCATCACTTTTCAGCGACCACTAAAACCTGGCAAAGCTGGTGCAGAAGTCAGAGGATGCTCAGAGAGCGGGGTCCCCTGTCCTGGCTCCCTCAGGAGTACTGAGGGGAGACCCCGGGGATTACGTTTATTGAGGTCTGATAACTCTCAAAACAACACTCATACAGCTCAGGTTTGGGGCGTCGAGACCACACATTTCTGCAGGAGCAAGATGCCTGAATGAATAGGTGTGAACACCCTGTTTGAAATGACTGTGACTGCACTTCTGGCAAAGGCTGTGACTCACAGCTCCAGAGGGTGTCTCTTCTGCCTTTTGGCTCTGGGGCAGATTTTAAGAAAAGTGATCACTGTGTGGGTAGAACAAAATTTGTTCCCTCTTGTAAATAAACTTTACCTTTAAACGCCTTTAATGTTTCTCATTGTATTGTTGCAGGTTTGGTTCTGATGAGCTGAAAAAGCAGTTCCTGGTTCCAACTATAGCTGGAGATTTTGTGGCTTGCTTGGGAGTCAGTGAAGCTGGAGCTGGGTCAGATGTGGCAAGTAAGTTAATCTTGAAAATTGCCCATTTCAGACAGCCTGGTGGTTTAATGGGAAGAATCTGGTTTCCCTCACCCTTCCCTTTGCCGCTGTCATTTGTAAGTGCAAAGGAGGAAGAGTCTGGGGTGGCAAGGGCAAAGAGTAATACTCCAGGAGCAGTAGCACGTGCCTCTGGTGCATTCAAAAGTGATCAAATTGACTGTGTTTGCCAGTGAATCAATAGCTACAGCCCTGTATGGGCTGAGCACAGCATTGATACGCTAAAACAGACCTCTCTTTCGTTAATTCTCTCTTAATCATTTATAAAACTACAGCAGAACAAGGGCACGTAGTGACAGAACGAGGGGGAAGGGTTTGACCCTGAAAGAGGGGAGATGGAGCTGAGATGTGGGGAAGAACTTGTTTGGTGTGAGGGTGGTGAGAGCCTGGCCCAGGTTGCCCAGAGAAGCTGTGGCTGCCCCATCCCTGGAGGGGTTCAAGGCCAGGTTGGAGGGGGCTTGGAGCAACCTGGTGTGGTGGGAGGTGTCCCTGCCCAGGGCAGGGGGTGAGACTGCATGGTCTTGAAGGTCCCTTCCAACTCAAACCATTCTATGTTTCTATGATTTTAAGATAAAGGAAATGACAAGAAATGGCTTTTAGAGGTTTTGCTGTTGTTCAACTTCACCATCCTGTGTCCACGTTGTGCTCTTGGAAATTACTGAGACAAGGTCTTCTGCAGACAGGATCACCAAGTTTGACAGAAGTTTTTTGATAGCAGAGTCCTATGTCCATCTCCTTGACCAAACTCATGTTGTTTTCTCAAGACAAATAGCGAATTACGCAGTGTTAGAGCAAGGGTGCAGCAGGTAGTTTTCAAGAGAGTTAGTGGAGACAATTCTATGATTCTATGAAATTATGGGACTAAATCTTCCTGCATGATCCCTTGCTGTTTTCCTTTCTAGCTAATTGATTTTGTTTGTAAAGAAAAAATCCATAATTTTTAGAGACTTGTTTTTCATTAATTTGAAATTTGAATTTTGCTAATGTAGTAAATACAACATCATTTATTTTAATTAATGCCTCTCTAGTTTAATTAGATGATTATCAGAACTTTCTAAATATGATTTTAATTTTTTGATGCAGTGTTCCAGATAATAAGTAACATAAATATTCTTTTAGCTGCATGTTGTTTATCATCCGGTTTAATTGGTATGATACACTTGGATTCATACAGTTAAAGAGACATTTAGAACCTGCTGGGATTGTCTGATGAACCCAGGCTGCAAGATGAAGTGACGATACTTTGGGAAGATCTGGTCCCTGATATAAACCCAGAAAAGAGCTTAGAGTGGGTGATGAAATGGACAACTTGGGCATGAGCAGCACCAACTGATGTTCTCAGTGGCAGTAGTTTGCATGAAGTGGAGACAACATGATATCTCTGGTGGCCCAGCTTTGAAGTAGACTGAGCTGTGTGAGATTTGGTACTTCCTTCGGTTCCTCATGCTATTGGGGTGTTTTCTGCCTTATTTAAGTGAGGTAAAGCACAGCAGCCCTTCATGATGTGCTTCTGCCATGTGACCATTTTAACCTGGTATCTCAGGCATTTTTCTTCTGCCAGTTGCAAAATTACTGAAGGTGATGTGAACACAGAAGGGAAAAAAAAGCGTGTCTCTACATGAGAAATGAAAGGTGCCTGGAATTAATATGTTCAGAATTCAGCAGAACAAAAAAGGACTGTGTATTGGACTAGTCTGATATAAATTTCAAGGACTTCAATTTGTAGGAGCACCTGTCTGCTCTGACATGTAGAAGTTCTGTATTATACATGGTATTGGCCACGTATGACAAAACTGGCGCAGGGATGGCTTGAGAAGCAGAACAGGACAGAACAGATGGTATAGAAAGTGTCTGTCTTTAATGTCAGGATTCTTGGTACCACAAAACATACACATTTGTGTCAGTTTTAATGATTTTGTCTCATTCTTGCTCACTACTATGTAATGTTTTGCTGATAGTCTTTGGGGGTACGTAAGAACATGTTCTGGAAGAAGAATAATAACACAGTTGCCTGTGTTGGTGATGTCTCCCAGGTATTTGTCACTAGTGTCATTAGTGTATTCCTGTTTTTCTTTTAAAGAGCATTAATGTAAATATTCGATAGGTTTTGTCCAAAGGCTGATATCTAAGGAGAAGCTCCAATAGTACCCTCCCTGCACATCAGCAGTTCCTCTTCTAATGCAACCTGATGCAATTTCCCCTTTGCCAAGTTCCTTACCCACATTTCCACTTCTGTTCTAATTCTTATCTTTTCAAAATTTTAACTCACAGTTATCTAGTAGCATCAATTTTAGTTTGCTTGGGTCCAACAGTATTTTTTCTTTTCTGCCTTCTTTCTTTTTCTTCATCTAGAAAATCCATTTTCATAATAACCAAATCAGGTTGGTTTTAAATAAGATTTACCACTTTTAAATTCAATTTACCACTGGTATATTGAATTCTCTTTTCTTTCCAAGTGTATTCTGAGGCTGTGCAGATTGCCAAAACCAACAATCTGGGTATTCACTGATTTTAATTTCTGTACAGTCCTTCCTGTAGATGTCTTGCTTTGTCAGCTATATCGTGAATCTTCTTGTAATCTCATGTGAAATATTTCTTTAGTTTTGAGGTGTCTCCTATATACTTTGTATTTTTTCTCATTCTCTTTTCATTTCTGTGGCTGAAACATTTTTGTTTGCCACCACAACCTCTGATTTTCTTGGTTTTCGTCTGCAAGATTTAACTTAGCTTGACCAGTGGCAGTTCTTACCTTCTGACCTCCAAACTGTAACGTACTTTGATGATGAATCTCTTTCCTTTCTAAATTTATTTAGACCTGAAGCTATTTCTTGCAAGTTTTGTTGTATTTTCTTTTCCTGTGCTGATGATATAAATTTAAGATATGTATTCTTCGTTTTTTAGTTTAAGAATATGTGTTTGTCCTGGTTTGAGGTAAAATAGAGACTGTCTTTGATCCTAATATTGACCTTAAAAGTTGAAGCCAACTTTGCCTTTTGTCCAATCTATTGAGAGGCGTGGCTGGACTCAAGAGCACAGTGGAGAAGAAAACTTGAGGCTCAAGTATGTTGTTATTTGAATGGTGACCAGCCCAGATGATTTCTATCGTGTGCCTTTCAATGATGCCTTGTGGCCTTTCCTAGAAGGGGCCCTCACATGATGCTTTCTAAGGGGTTGAGTTGCAGGCACCACAAGGCCAGTGGTGTGGACCTGCCAAAAATGGGTTATGGAGCACACACTGAAGTAGTATTTTCCCAGAACTGTGCTCTATCAGGGAGAATAATTACAGTCAATTATTCCAAATTATCTTCATATCCCTGAGACTGAGTCCACTTGACTTCAGTGAATTAAGTAGTTTTTCAAAGCCTGTTGTATTTTAAACATAGAACTTACTTATTGACTCGGTCATCTTTCTTCTAATTAGAGTTAAAGAGCATCAACTCTTCATAAATTGATTTTAAATAGTCATTTCTCAAGTGTTTGTAGCGAACTGTCAACCATGATATCTGGGAGTACTTGAATGTTCCCGTTAGTGAGGCATTTGTTCTTCAATCTGCATTTGGGTGGTTAGTACCCTGCGACGATGTGATTGCAAGACCTGTTTACATTTGTGATAACATCACAGTGCTATTTGTTCCTCTCCAGACCTTCCATGGGACCTCTATCTAATCTCCTCAGTAGCTGTTCCACAACAGAGAGATGTGTGATGTCAGTCACTGTATCTACTCCCATCCTTTCCACCATACTTCAGTACAGACTCCTGTTTCTTATCCCAGCTCTTGTGTGTCCTTCATTTATTATTTAGTCTCCGTGTATAGGATTGTCCAGTGCCTGTCTCCATTTGTTACGAGCATCAGGACTTTAGGTTCCTTCAGTTTCTTGGCCTTTGTTAGTATAGAGATTTCATATCAAGCTTCTTGGACAGATGTGGTATAGTCCTTTCATTGACTGAATAGCTATAGGGCTACTGGTTTTGTCTTTAGTACATTAGTACTAATGACTTTTTGTCATTTTACATTAGTACTATCTCTTTCCCTTGCTGTTCATCATTATCTGCTTGTAAGTTCCTTTAGCCACAGCTGTATCCGATTTTCCCTTCTCTTATACCTTACCCAATCCTCTCCCATCGTTTTCCCCCCAGTTTCTTCGATACTAAGACCTCTTGTGGTGGGGGTTTTTGTGGGTTTTTGTTTGTTTGTTTGTTTTTTTGTTTTTTTTGTGGTTGGACTCGATGATCACAAAGGTCCCTTCCAACCATGAAGATTCTGTGATTGTGTGTGCTTTTATGGAATTTATAGTCTCGTTAGGTTTACAGGAGCTATTAGGGGAGTGGTGGGGTTCTCCTATACCATCACCTACTTATAGGTAGTTGAAGAGTCTTCCTCAGCTGGGGTTTTGGGTGAAGTAGTTCCTTTGCAGGGGAGGGAAGCCAGTCCTTTGGAAATTCTGCTGGGGTGTGATGGGAACACTCACAGTTGAAAATAAGATTATTTTTTTTTTATAAAACATACATAGGGAGGATATGCAAGGGGTGTATAAACAGCAGGTGTTTAGAACTCCTTCATGTACAGACATTCTGAGTGTTTAGAGTTGACCTTTGCAAGTTGACCAGCTTTGAATTCACTATGCCGTGCTGAGCGAGGAGAGGCAGGAGGTGTGTGGGTCTGTATGTGTGTACACAAGTGTGTTTCTGCACATGGACATGGAGCTTTGTGTGGGTTGAGGTGGTGACTCTGGGATCAGTGGTCTCCTTGGTGGCCGATGCAGCCCATGGTGGCAGCGCCTCACGGGTCACCATTTCACGGGCTGAAACGTTTCAGCCTCTGACCACCAGATTTACCCAGGGAAAGGTTTCTGCTTTCATCCGCTGGGATGGAGACTCCACCTAAAGGAGGGTGAGGGAAGTGGTCTGTGTCCCCGGGTCACCTCCCAAGGGTTGTCCCAACGGGTCTGATCTGCCTTGTTGGAGGAGCTGGGGCGTATGAAGGGAGAACCAAGTGTTAGTTGTCTGGCCGAGAGCAGGAGAGCCGTGCAAGAGAGGCTCTGCCAGCCGTGTGGGCACCAGCCTCTCCCTCTTTCACAAGAATGACCCCTCATTTCCTATGTTTTGGAACAGGTATCAAGACGACAGCTGTGAAAAAAGGCGACGAATACGTCATAAATGGGGGTAAGATGTGGACGACGACGGGGTGCCAGGCGGACTGGATGTGCCTGTTGGCCAACACCAGCGAGGGACCCCCCCACCGAAACAAGTCTCTCATCTGTCTGCCCATGAATCTGCCCGGTAACAGCACAGAACTGTCCCTCTTCTCCTTTGATTTTATCTGTGGCTTTTTGTGTATGCCTCGTGCAAGATGGAGAGGCGTTTGATGGGAAGCACCACGCCGTGAGTGCTCCTCTAGTCAGGGGTTTCACCATCGAGTTGGTTCTGAAACACATGTGCACACTTCCACAAAAAAAGTAGGGGTCAAGAGGACAGGAGAAGGAAGTTAAATATTTTGCAGCCTTCAGCCTGTGGCTCCCAAACAATTTTATGTGGAGAGTCCTTTCCACCAAAAACAAATTTAGAAAAATTGTTCAGAATACATTGGCATGGGAATATTTCATAACCTTCTGTGAAAACAAATAGACAAGTCAATGCCAAGGACAAAATGAATGCCTCAAAGAAATCATTAAAAATAGAGCCAACATTTATTTTTTTTTTGAAAGTTATAGCATCCAGTGCCTTTTAGTTTTGGAGAAGTTCCACAAAACTTTTATCTTGGTGTTCTGTCCCCAAAAGGCATGAGATGCAAACAGTCCTCAAAATAAATAATGTGTTACACTATTTACACAGATCTTTGCTACATATGAACTATATGTAAGACGTTGTTAAATTATCTTTCCAAAATAGCATTTAACCCTTTTCTCTTCTGTATGAGGACTGGTGAACAGAATATATATATATATGTGTGTATATATATATTCTTTTTTCAATGAATGGAGGAGTATTTTTAAGCTTGCTGTCTTGTTTCTTCAGAAAATATTGAAAACGATTCTCAAACGTATAAAAATAAAACAGTTTAGAGGTTTTAAACTTGGCAAATGCATGGGAAATACGTGCAGTAAATAGATTTTGAGTAGAAAAATTGCCTGAGTCACTTGAAGCTGGTCTGCAGAAGCGTAGAAGTCTTCCTAGAAACAAAACCTGCACTCCTCAGAGTGGATATGCATTCATTCTCTGGTGTGATGCAGACATTGGCCTCCAGAAGCATCACGGTACCAAGATTGGTGACCTTTTGAAATGAAATATTAAGACGGTTCATTGTGCTCTGTGGGTGGGTCATCTCAGAAATGAGATTTTTTTTTTTTTTTCAAGATGACAGGAAAAATATGAGAAAGGCTGCCGTTTGGCACAGATGTGAGGAGGAAGCTCCAGCTGTTTTGGTCCATCCGAAGGATGTCTGTCTGTCCAAGACCGTGCTCCTTGGAGGGCAGCAGGTCACAGCTGCATGGGAAGCTTCTGGAGGACACCACCATCGAGCGCCTGTGGATGGGTGTGTGTCAGAGCTGGAGAAGGAGTGTGTTAGGGCTTAGGAGTGCTGAGGCCACCAACCTGGATGGTGGGGTCAGGAGGGGATCTGTGGTACAGCAGCTCCTCCATTGCTGGCAGCTGGAAGGACACGGGGACTAGTCCAGCCTGTTTCAGAAAAATCCTAATTGTTTCATACTTGTAAAATGAGGTGATAAGAAAAAACCAAAACAAAGTTCCAAGTCTGAAAGCAAATTGCTGACTTCAACAACTGGTGGTTTATGTGAGATGTGAAGCAGGGTTCACTGCTTCTGATTTTAGGTGTGTGTGGGGTCTATTCGGGGGCGAAGCAAAGCGTGGTCTGGATTTGACAGATGCTTCTGGATGCGTTTCTGATAATGGGATTTTGTATAACAGCAGTGTGGATTCACAGTCCATAGACAAATTAGAATACTCCTCATACTAACGATGTCTTAAAACAAAAAAAAATAGCTGAATTTCTCATATGATGAAAGTGAATCTAACAAGTCATGAAATGTCTGTGTGTAAGGCATACAGACAGATGGCTTGCAGCCCTCATCTGGTAACTATTTGTGTGCTGGTTTGTCTTCCCAGCCCTCAGGCAGCACTAGGGTAGAGGCAAGGAGGAGGAGATGGTCAGGAGAAGAGCATCCAGGAAAGGGGAAAGAGCGTGTTTCTCAGGTTGCAATTTAAAATGTGCCTCTTTCCACCTGTAATGGCACTAAGTGGTGTCAGGAGGGAGCGGCTGCCTTCTTTTCTCTCAAGATAGAATATAGGAAATAAAGGAGGTTGTCAGAAGGCTGGAAGAGAGGGAGAAAATGAAAAATCAGAGAGGCCTGGGAAGAGCTGCCCAGGAAGAGATGGATCCATCCGTCTTGGTGATACCGGTGGAGCAGCACAGATGGCTCTGTCAGAGTGATTTTAGTAAATGAGGCGCTTGGCCTTACTAGATTGAGATTTGTGTGTTATGGGATGCCTTGTGATTTACTTAATACAGACAAGCTCCGGGAGTTACCTGGGCAGATGATTTCTACTGCTGCTGGTGATTTCTAGTATGTAGTACCCCTTACAAAGAGAATGAAGATAATTAAACTAAGTATGGGAAGATTTTGCTGCCCATATTGTAGCCAATGAGATGATTACGTGTCGTTGTCTTCAAAGAAGAGAAAGTGTGAAGAGTGTGCTAGCAACACGGGGGGAACAACGCGAGACTGATGCAGTTTGGCCTCCTTCAGTGTGAGAAACGTGAATTAATCTGAGAGGAGGTGACACTGGGAAGGCACAGCAGAGAGGGGACGCTGCTGGATTCAGGACACTTGAACACACAGCCCAGTCTGGAAGAAGTATGGATAGAAAACAGTAACACATTCAGCTCCTCTAACCAAACCTGTGAGAGCTTTCTTGAGTAGTTGTTGTTGTGTGTGTGTGTCTGTGGAAGTACCCGACAGGACTGATTTAGCAATAATGAAGAACTGGCAGCAGTTCTACTTTTTCCAGCAGAGTCCATAAGAGCAGTAAGTGCATCCTCACATGGGTGAGGAGAATGATTGCATAAAACCAGCTGGAAGGAGACCCAAGACATGATCTCTGAGACTCTCAAAGAAACCAAGTGGTAATATTCCAACAGAAAAAAGATGTTCCAGAAATCATTTGGGCCTGGAAATCATTCAGAGTGTGTTTGTTTAGCTCTGATTTCAATACAGCAACAAACCACAGATGGTTTTTTGGAATGCCTGGGTGCAAATTGCTGGATAATTTTCAATCCAAGAATCAAAAAATTTTTATCCAGCTCTCCTAATTTTCTTCCTGCATTGAACACGGGCCAAAGCAAGTATTCCTTCCACATCATCTGGTTATATGTTGGCTGGTGGAGGATGTGGAAATCTATGTGGACCTTATTCTGAGAGCAGTCTTGGCATTTGGAAGTAGTGTCAGTATTTCATCTCTGCAGAGAGATTAAACTTTCCATAGCCTTAATCAATGTAGAGAGAGAATTTGAAGGGGATGGATGCCAACATCTTCTGCCTGCAAAACCAAAGGAATTTTCACATGGCTGAAGGCCTCCTGTCAGTAGAAGCTGAGATGTCTCTATTAGGTCAGGAGGAGTTGTTCACCAAAAGCCGTGAAGGACAGCAGGGTACAGATGAGTACAGAGAGGGACCACAACAATCTGTGCAGTGACCAACTCCTACCCAGCCATCTTAGAGAGCGGTAGGGGATTGGGGAAAGAAGGTAGAATAACAAGGAAAATATTACCAGAATACCTCCTCATCGCAAAACCGGTTGGAATACCATGTATGTGGGTAGTAAAATGTTTGGTTTTCTGCAAAGACATACATGCTGATTTAGAGGACTGTTTTTCTATGTATATTGACTTGGTAGGTGTAATCAGTGTGTTTTGCAGCAATGTGGGGTGATTATAATCCCTCTCTTCTGTGGGACAGGCTAGAAAGGGGAGGGTAAGTGTGGAAGGGAGGAAAGGAAGAGGATTTCCAAGGAGCAGAAATTCTCTAGCTGCAGCTTAAACATAGCTCTGTTTTTGTCATTATTAAATATTGCTCTACTGTTTCACGGCAGTGCAGGCACTCAGCAAATACCCCTAAACTCAATTCCAGAACTTTATTACAGTGCATGAAAAATCAAACATAAGCAAATAAACATTGCATTGTTTCAAGATGTGAAATAAGACTATTACTACTAGGAAACAATTATTATTTGGGGACATAAAGAAAAGTGGGACCTTTACAATTACGGTTCCTGCTTTGCTAATTAAATAAAATGGAAAAAACTCTTAAAAATAGGATGTGGGCCACTTTACTCTTAAATTCCAGGATACGGTTAGGTTTTTCCTAAAGGTAGGTTTCACTGTAGTCTTGTCACATCCCTTCCCATATGCAAACTTTCCTTTCTTAAAATGCTGTGCTTGTACGTAGCGCTTCTACTTCTTGTGTCTTTCTAATACCCCTTTCTCTTCAGGCATCCACGTTGCCAAGAAGATTGACAAACTGGGCATGAGGTCGTCGGACACGGCTCAGATCTTCTTTGAAGACGTCCGGGTGCCCAGGAAGAACCTCATCGGGGAGGAAGGGAAGGGTTTCACCTACCAGATGTTGCAGTTCCAAGAAGAGCGTATGTGGGGAGTAGCCACTGGTAAGTCATGGCTGGGGCTGGGACACAGGGTCACCCCTGGCAGGACAAACTGCACTTCCCCTGCCTTGTCAGTTGTGACAACCTCCTTCTGTCGTAACCTGGGTACGGGCAACCTTCCCTTTCTGCAGGAAAACTTGAAATACAGAAACACTTTGTTGAGGCGTCGCAGAGCCTGGTGTTGCCCTGTTTCTTTTTCTTGGTGCCTTTCTGCTGATAAGGAAATACAGCATCATATCATGTCTGCTACAAATGCAGTACAAAGGCTGTCAAAATACTGGCAAGAAACAGAAGTACAGTGACTTTTCCTTTAGTCACCTCTGATGTTTATCCTGGATTTTAGCAAATTAACGTAGTGGCTGTGTAAGGGAGAGGCTCTTACAGGATGTGAGAGCTCTGTCTTGCAGATGTTTTACCTCTGTACCCTTTGGGCAGAAGTGGTACCACACCAAATCCCTGTCCCTGAAGTGATGCTGTCACGGAGTTCCTGTTCCTATGAACTCGGGCTGTGCTTGAATCCGCACGTTTGAGTTCTGTGGATTCTGGATATTCCAAGTAACCACATCCAAGACTGGATTGTCCCTTTTCAGCCTAAATATAATGTGATTCACGCAAAGGAGATTGTTCCTCTCTAAATTGTGGGGTTGTATAGATAATGTCACCCTGTTGGTGTTCCTGTGCACACCCCGTCTGTTGCTGTCTGGGGCTGGGGAGTCGGGAGCTCTCAGAAGTGATTTTCTGATTCGGTGACCAAATTAAAAAAAAAATCATTCCCTGTTGTGGGTTGATCCCAGACCAAGTATTTCAGAGTTCAGACGGTTTAAAAAAAAAGCTTTGGTTTTGGCCAAAATTCTTAGTTCAGCCTGAGATAAATAGTAAAAGTGTGAGTAGTTTTAGCAAAGAACAGGAGGGTGGACTGGCAAGGGATGCCACTGCAGAGCCGGGTGAGGAGATGTGGTCCTGCTGCTGGTCCTGCTTCAGTCGAAGCATACGCAGATGGCAAGGACACGTGCTTTTGTGCTCAGTTTGAAGTCAAAGTTAAACAAAGCTTTAAAAAAAAGTCATAAAAAAAGTCAAAACTTTAAAAAAAGTCAGAAAATGCTGGGTTATAGTGATGCTCCCCAGGCAGCAGAGCAGCCCAGGGTATTAGTCATGCCCCCAGGCAGAAGTGACGCGCGCTGACAGCATCCAAGCACCAAGCCCAGCAGGTTCTGTCACTCCTGGTAAAACCACTGGCAGCTCGGTACTCTCCAGCCTTGCACAACCACCCCACAGTCACTCTGCCCCACCAGGAAACAGGACACCAGGTTTCAATTCTTCTTTTTGCCCAGAACAACCCCTGGGAGCCAGGAACCGGATGAGCAGTCCAGGAAGGGCATGAAGACTTGGGGTCGTTTTAGTCTTGAGGTACTGCGGAAGCACTCTGGAGCACTGGGACCAGTTCTGGGCTCCCCAGTTCAAGAAGGACAGGGAACTGCTGGAGAGGGTACAGCAAAGGGCTACAGAGATGCTGAGGGGACTAAAACATCCGTCTGATGAGGAAAGGCTGAGGGACTTGGGTCTCTTTAGTCTGGAGAAGAGAAGACTGAGGGGGAATCTGATCAACACCTATAAATACTTGAAGGGTGGGTGTCAGGAAGATGGGGCCAGGCTTTTCTTGGTGGTGCCCAGGGACAGGACAAGAGGGAAAAGGCACAAACTTGAATATTAGAAGTTCCATCTCAACATGAAGAGGAACTTCTTTGCTGTGAGGGTGGCAGAGCCCTGGCAGAGGCTGCCCAGAGAGGTGGTGGAGTCTCCTTCTCTGGAGACATTCCAACCCCCCTGGACACGTTCCTGTGGGACCTGCTCTGGGTGACCCTGCTCTGGCAGGGAGTTGGACTTGGGGGGTCTCCAGAGGTCCCTGCCAACCACTGCAATTCTGTGATTCTGTGAAAGGGATGTTCAGAAGGGGTCCAGGTGCTTGATGGGTGGGATTTGTTACACTTCCACATCTGGCTGTTAACTCCCAGTCCTGCACAGGGTTTTACGTACCTTCAACCCCGAGTGTTTTGCTGAAGCTCAGATTTGCTGCCGGCGTGTACAGAGCTCTGCACGTCTGTGGTGAAGTCTGCATGTCTGATACTAGTCCTCGCTTCTGGTCCTCAGAAGGACGGCTTCAAGCTGCAGCAGGGGAGGCTTAGGATGGATATTAGGAAAAAATTTCACACTGAAAGGGTTATTGAGCATTAGAAGAGGCTGCCCAGGACAGTGGTGGAGTCACCATCCCTGGTGGGATTTAAAAGCTGGGCAGGCACAGTGCTTAGAGACATGGGGTAGTGATGGTTTGTGTCAGTGTTGGGTTGATGGTTGGACTCGATGATCTGAAAGGTCCCTTCCAGCCCAGGCAATTCTACGGTTCTATGACTATTCACGTGACATTGAAAATCATCACTCTGCTTTCAAACAAGACATGTTAGGGACAGGTCCTGGCATCCTCGCTTTCACCGCTTCCTAAGACTTGGCAGAAGCAGTTGGCTGCTGTTCTTTTTCTTCTTTCCTTTTCAGGCATTGTTTTGTTTTGCTGTGTTTGAGGGGTTTTGGGGTTTTTTTTTGTGTTTGGTTATTTTTACGTATTTTTAGCATCAAATATCATGCGTTCCAGCCTTCTCTTTCTTTATTAATTATCTTCTTTTTGTCCAGATTTCAGAACGTGTGTGGGAATTTCCTTCCTTCTTCACCTTTTTTTTTTTTTTTCCCTTTTAAAATGAATTTTCAGTAAAACAGATTTAAAACATAAACGGAAAACTAATTTCCTGGAACTGCAAAATTTGGTCACAGGTGTGGTCTTTCCTTCCGAGTGACACGTTAGCAAAGACACTGGTACAAGTGGCTGTTCCTTGCCTCGCTGAAGAAGGCACTGGTAAACTCGTTGTGACACTGGGTGAGCACCGTCCCCGGGTGGATCTGTTGCCCTGAGCCCAGGAAGAGGACGTTGCTATGGCAGGAACACAAACAGGTTTTTTTGTGAATTGCTTAACTGGGAGGCAAAGGGGGAGCTCGGTGTGAGGGAGGGGGCAGAACGACGCTTTTCTAATGACCTCTCTCTGCTCCCGTAGTCTCCGTTTTACGAGCACCCCTGAGTCACAGCCAGGAGGATGACAGAGCCCTTGACGTGGGCAACGCACGGCCGTGAGGGACAGATTGCTCAGCCTGGACATCCCTGTACATCTCGCTGGAGAGCGACCAGCCCCAGCCTAAGAAAAACATATGGGTTTCCTTTTGTTTTGAGAGGGGACGTAGCAAGGCAAAATGTGTTTACAGTGGGCAGAAGTTTCAAGTGGAAAATTGTTAAGTTGGATGGAGGTAGGAGGAAAAGATTGTTCTGCATCTGGCAGCTCCCGGGGCTTTCACAACTGGGGGCTGCGCAGCAGAGCCCGCGTCCCACCACTTCCCCTGCCTCTGCTGTCACTTGGAACCGCGGGGACAAGCTTGTCTGAGCATGTGGAGAGCATCGTGTGACAAAAGGGGAAACTAATGCACAGGGCAGAGGCAGGGAAAGTTCCCAGAGAAAGTGAATTTCACTGTTAGGAATGGCACTTCTCTGTACTTCTGTGGCTGGCGAAGTGTTGTGTGCGGTCACGGGGCTGGGGGCAGTCAGGGTATTGACAACACGCTGCCGTGCCTTGATGTTTGCTGCACAGGGAGGCTTGGCTGTGTTAGACCTAAGCTCATCGCTCGAAATGCCGTCACAGAGTGGTCCGGGTTGGAAGGGACCTTGAAAGATCATCTCGTTCCTCCCCTGCCCTGGGCAGGGACACCTCCCACCAGCCCAGGTTGCTCCAAGCCCCCTCCAACCTGCCCTTGAACCCCTCCAGGGATGGGGCAGCCACAGCTTCTCCTGGCAACCTGGGCCAGGCTCTCACCACCCTCACACCAAAGAAGTTCTTAGAATCATAGAATGGTTTGGGTTGGAAGGGACCTTAAGGATCATCTAGTTCCAACCCCAGAACATTCTTCCTTGTGCTCAGTCTCAGTCTCACCTCTTTCACGTTAAAACTGGTGGCTCTTTCCTGTCACAGCAGGCTCTGGTAAAAGGTCTCTCTCCATCTTTCTTATAACTTTAGAAAACCTAATGTCTTGTTTGTGCAATGTGGAAAAAAAAAAAAAGGGATGTTTTTCAACAAGAAGGAAAAAAGAACAGGTCTGACTAAGCCTACGTCTTCTCTTGTGCTTTGCTTCTTCCAAGTCCTGACGCCGCTGGAGACGATAATTCGGGAAACGATCGACTACACCCGCCAGCGGAAGGTGTTTGCCCAGCCCGTCCTGCACAACCAGGCCGTGCATTTCCGCCTGGCCGAGCTGGCCACCGAGGTGGAGCTCCTTCGCTCCCTGCTCTACCGCACCGTGGGTGAGCTCTCCTCCCGCCAGGGACACCCTCCGGCGGCAGGACACCGGGGGTGATGGCCAGGGGGGCACGCTGGGGTCGGTGGCTCTGTCTGTATAACTACTTTTTTAATTCCTTTTTTTTTTATTATTCTTTTTCCTTAGCTCTCTATGTGGAAGGCAACGACGTGACGAAGCTTGCCTCCATGGCTAAGCTGAAGGCCGGCCGGCTGGCCCGCGAGGTGACCGACAGCTGCCTCCAGTTTTGGGGAGGAATGGGCTTCACCAGCGAGGTTCTGGTGAGCAGGTTTTACAGGTGAGCGAGCGGGCGGTGAGAAAGGAACCGGCTGGACTGAGATTTGGCCTTAGGTGTCCCACTGAAAGATCACCCACTGGAAAAGGGGCTGGCACTGAGCCACTGCCGATGGCGTTGCTCCGCGGAATGGAATGTCCCTGGTGGACCTTGTGGATGCAGCAGCATCCCCAGGCCTGTTGCTTTTGGGGTGACGTGTGAGTGATTTGACTATTCCTTTGCCAAATCTTGGTGTTGCATGACAGCCATGTAGCTGGAACCACCCCCAGGTCACCCTGAATGTCAGGTGGAAGAAGTAAACTCTGTGGTTTCCCTCACGTCCCGCTGGTACCTGCCGGGCAGGAGGACAAGGGGAAAAGGGGAAGCCTACCAACAAGGGATTTATTTTTTTTTGGTCTTTGCTCTTTGTTTGCTTGTAGTCTTGATTACAAGAACAGAAGTGAAACAAAACAGAAGCTTTTTTCCCAAACCAATGAAAATCAGCTTTGTCTTTCCCCCCAAAGATATGGGTGAAACTGGGGTTGACAGAAGTGGTCTTTTCTGATAGCAGTGCCCCCGGGCTAGTGACAGCAGACAAGTGTGAGACACACAGGAGGTGGAGCTGCACACAGCAAGCTGTCAGAGCATTAACACAGTACGGAGGCCTTTTTGCAAACTAACTCAAAGTCCCTTCAAATTTTACCCTATATCTGCTGAGAGCTAAATTCTCTCTAAGCAAAGTGTTTTCTCGGCAGCTGTTAGGAAAATCCTGGCCCCGGTGTCTTGTATTCTGTAGAAGGAGCAATGTGGAACCGGTGTTTTCTTGCAGGAATAGATTTTTGTCTGGAGAAGAGAAGGCTCCAGGGAGACCTTATTGTGGCTTTTCAGTGCTTAAAGGGGGCTACAGGAGGGATGGGGACAAACCTTTTATCAGGGCCTGTTGTGACAGGACAAGGGGGGACGGCTTTAAGCTAAGAGAGGGTGGATTTAGACCAGATTTAAGGAAGGCATTTTTTACACTGAGGGTGGTGAGAGCCTGGCCCAGGCTGCCCAGAGAAGCTGTGGCTGCCCCATCCCTGGAGGGGTTCAAGGCCAGGTTGGAGGGGGCTTGGAGCAACCTGGTGTGTTGGGAAGTGTCCCTGCCCAGGGCAGGGGGTGGCACTGGGGGGCGTTTAAGGTCCCTTCCTACTCTAGCCATTCTATGAGTCTATGATTTCAGTTCAGCCCTTATATATATGATACCTAATCAAAGGTTAGCAAAATTGGTGGTTCAATTAATTGAAACTTTTGGTAAATGTATCTGTATAAAGTGAGAGTAGAACACTTAAAAAAAAATCTGTAAAAAGTGTATTTCTTTTCAGTAGGTTGAGTTACCTTTTCTCTTTTTAATAGCACTGTATGAACAAGGTGTGGTGAGTCAGAGAGATCCTCAACCTTTTTGACTTGTAGGTTCCTGAAGTTTTCTGGAGAGGGGCAGGCTGCGGTGCGTGCTGGGTTTCAGCTGACCCACCCCGGGGTTTATTAGTTATTTTTATCACAGCCTCTCTATTAGCAGCCGGTGGTCCCCCATGATACAGCTGTCACACGCTCCTGCAGCGGGCACGCTGAACAGAATGAATCCGTGTCGTGAGGCGCTTTGTGACGGGGTAGGGATGTGTACGGAGTGGTGTGTGTGCTCTCACAGAGCTCTGATTTGCCTTCAGATTTCCCAGCCTGGTATAATATTGCTAACTCTGGGCAAGGCTTTGCTGTGTGAACTCCAGCGCGGTTTCTGAGTACGCCAGCACAGTCACATTTTTCCTGAGAAGAAATCCAGAGTATTTCCCATCGGTGTGAGCTCTGCCAGCTGGCTGAAGAAACCTTTCAGCCCCTAAAATACACTAGAGTTGAGGCTAGAGGTGGTGCGGTATCTACGCCCAAAACTTTTCTGTGAATCAATGAAATTCCGTTATTGAGTAACTGTAGTAACTGCTCCAGGAAGGGAGCAGCAGAGCATTACCTAAATAAACAGCTACAGGTTCGTCAGAATCCCGTTAATCTGTAATGATAAGCAAAGCAGTGACTTTCCTAAAGCCGTTCTTTTTTGTCCCAGAGCCTGAGTAAGCGCTGGCGTCACGGGGTGATATTTGCAGGCAGCGGAACTGCGCAGCGGGACACCCCGCCTCGCAGAGGGAGGTCTCTGCAGCATAATCCTTACCAAGTTTCCAAGGAAATGTCAGTCTTTGATACCCGTCAGGCTGGAATTCCCCAAGGAGCACAGGCGTGATCAGTGCACGCAGCTTGGAATTGTAGCTATTAGTGGTGGCGGGAGACAATACACAGAAGAGGCAGAAACCCCCTGGTCTGCCAAGTGGCTTCATTCATGGCTGTCGTTTTAACCCTCTTTTAAACTGTGTAAAACATCTGAGTTTCTGAAGCACAGTGCTCTCTGGGAGGTGTAAAGGAGCTGTTTCTCTGGGCAGGTGCCTGTCGTGGGCTGGCTCCACACACCTAAATGTCTGCTTTTCAGTTGGAGGGATTCTGAGGAGACAGGGTTTGAAAAAAAAACAGAATCGTTTTGATCCCAGATATCAAAGGGTTTAATAGAAAAATACAAGCCAATATGAAAAACAATAAGACTTTCCAGACTTCCCCCTGGTAGCAGGGTTCCAGGGAAGGAGAGAGCCAGACGGGAGTGGGGTTGGTTTGTTTTCCTCTCCACTGGATGAAATGCCTGGAAGAAATCATGACTTCGGAAAAATCAATTATTGAACAAATCCACAGCCTTTATGAAAACCCCAGGTTGTGAGAGACCAGGGGGAGGAAAACTTCGTGTAGCAAGTTTATTGCAGTTTTTCAGACTTCATAACAGGAGTTTTAAAAAAATTTCAGGTAGTGGTCTATGTATCTTGATAGTAATGGTGTACGTGGTAGTTGTTACAAGAGGAGCTGGTCTGGCTGCCTTAAAAAAGTTGGGGGTTGTTGGTTGTTTTTTTGTTCTTTTTTTTAAATTAAGCTTGTTTCTAAGCTGTATGTGCTGTGTCTGACTGCTGCCAGTTCTCACAAGTGTAACTCATGGGGTGTCATTCCTTTACCTGCTGCATGGTGAAGGTAAGCAAGCTGGGGGCAGCCACTGGCTTTCAAAGCAGAGCAGCTGTATATACTCTGTACTGTATATACTCTATACTGTAACAATACTCTATACTGCTAACAATCCTGTACCCTTAGACTATGGAACACCCCCAGGGCTCGTGCCTGGCCTCACGTACCCATTGGGGAGACCAGGATGATGCTTGTCAGTCAAAAAAACATGACTGAAAATTGTGCCTTCTCCAAACAGTTCTCCAACACCTCGTGTCCCGACCCACTAATACTCTTTTTACCACACAGTTAGGCAAAGTTTCAGTGCTGCAGCACTTTTTTTTTTTGCTGCTGGCCCTCCAAAGGCTCCCTCCCCCCCTCAAATTCAGCTGCAGGTTTAGGCACCTCCAGGTTTGGCACAGGACCCAGGGGTGCTGGAGGCAGGATCTGACCCTCTCACCAGGAGGAGGCAGTGGGTGACGTGTTCTGCAGGCAACTGGCATTAGCTCTTAATTAGTACATGTAGGCATTTGTACCTAATTAGTACATGTAGGCATTAGTATGTAATTAGAATGTGTAGGTAATTTGAGCAGGCTCTGGGGAGAGCCTGTGATGCTTTGTGTGCCAGCCCAAAGTGGTAAGACTTGATGTTTCAAGATGAAAAGTTACGCCAAGTTTAAAGATATTTTTTGGAAAAAAAAATCTGAAAAGTGGATGTGCCAAATTATACCTTAAGCCCTTTGATTTTGAATGAGCAGCAGGGTATTTACAGCACCGACAGCACGTTTGTCCACACCGTGTATGTGCTGCTGTAAACACGAGGGCTGAGGGGAATAACTAATACTAACTGCAGAGGATAAGGGGGTACTTGCAGCCCTGTACTTGCTCCAGCGGTTGTAGCCCCCACCTGATACCACTCTTTGTGTTTCTGCAGAGACTTGAGGCTGATGTCCATAGGAGGTGGCACGGATGAGACCATGCTGTCCATCATCTGCAAGTACATGGAGATCCTTCCCAGCAAGTGAGGCCTCTCCACTCCTCGGAAAGGAAGCATGAGCCCGGCTGGTGCCGCAGGGGCCGGGAGCAGCCAGTGCTGGGCTCACGGGGAAAATCAGCAGAAAGATCTGCCCAGGAACTGCTCCTCGGGGGCACGGAGCACTCTGAATGCGTGGGGCCTCCTGCAGGAATTTTTTTTTCCTTTTTTCCGGTGGGTTACGTTTTTGGGGGAGTCTAGTGATCCCCACTAAGCACCCAGAAAAATTGTTTTCTTTAATCAAGGTATATCTACATTTGAAAGCATCTAAGCCACCAATTAAGAAGCAACACTTCCCTGTGGCCAGAGCTGTGATTTCGCCAGGAGCCTGAGCTGATTCCAGGGTAACTTTGCTCTCATGATCAGTCGTTGTGGCAGAGATTGTTCCAGTGTTTGAACAGGGCAGGGAATGGTGACTTGGCTGTTGATTACAGGTACCTGCCCTATCCTTGAATTTTAGCAAGTAATCATTGACATGAGCTCTGTCACCTTGGCCAGGTTCACATGGACTCCTACAGAGCTGGGTGGTGGGTGGGAGTGGGGCTGGGTTTTATTTGTACAATTCTACAAATAACTGTTTAATTGTACCTGAAGCTTTTGGAGGCCTGAAGTTCAGCAGCAAGGTATCGTGTTTGATGTGCAATTATTAAAGAAAAATATTTTAAAAATCATATTAGTATAAAAATTGTGTGTTATTACTTAAATGAGATGGTGCAATTTATGTTCTGTGCCACAGTCACTGCAAAGTAGAAGTGTGTATTAAGTCCTTTCAAAATTGCAGTGCTTGGTGACACAAAAAATGGGGGAGAAGACCTAGTTCCTGTTCTGCATTAATTACCTTTTCATCTGGTTTGATCCTGTTAGTTTTATCCGTGCTCTGAAGGACTAGGAGAACTCATTGACCAATGTGTGCTCTGTCGAGACCTAAGGACCCCCCCAAATGTTTCCCAGAACAGACAGGAAACACATCGGCCACACCACCAGCTGCATCACCCCTTTTTCTTCTTAAATGCTGCACTATTTCCAAAAAGATACACTGGTATTTTACAGTAGAAAAGAATGTAGATAAACAACACTAGTTAGAATACTACAGGACACACTAGTAACACTAGTAAACAACACTAGTTAGAATACTACAGGACACTTTATTTGTTACTTTGTAATTAGTTGTTAATGGCAACGTGTTATACAGTATTTCTAGAAAAATTTTTCAAAAGTTGTAGATACAATTTCAATATCCAGGAAGCTTAAATTTTTGAAGGTTAAACTCAGCAGTGTAATAGCTTCAACTATTAGAAACTATTCAGTGAGCCAAAGCTAAGTCTTCAAAATAAAAATCCTTAATATGACAGCACCCCCAAAAGGTGCATCATAATATACTTTAATATAAAATTCAAAATACCTAACCTCATATTTCAGACATCATGCAGTGTAGATTTACGGATCATCACAGACTGAAAGGTAAACATATTAATGATAAAAGTTCTAGTGATTCAATGGAATCATTAAGTTTTAGATACTTTAAATATAAAGAAAAACATTTGTACTGTGTCCATATTGGTTGATCCCAATGATCAAAGGCATTTGCTTAAAACAGTAGATGTATAAGCATGATTCGTCACATTTAAAAAAAAATAATCCAGTTTTAAGTAACTTCTCCCCAAAACACACAGTTTAAGCTACTTAAACATGTACACTATCAGACCTAGCCACAGAAATAATTCTTGGGGATACCACTATCACATTTGTTAGCTTCAGGCCAGCCTTTTAAAAACGCACAGATAAAACCAATTTAGAAAGATCCAAGTACTCCTCGTTCTTTTGCAACCTAGGAATTACTGTATGCCTGAAACTGGAGCTCTAATTTAGAGCATGGCCCAGAGTGAAAAGCAGAATGAAAGAAAACGTCTTGTAATTCTGCAATTACTTCGTATCCAAACAACCACTGCTTTCTGCATTTTTTAAATCAATTCTAAAAACTATTTTCCCCTAAAAAAACCTCCTACTATGCTAGCAGTTCCTGCATATTTATGAATAATCCCCCCAAAACAGGGGATGATGGGAAAAATTCTGCTACATTAAGAAAACTCTATATAACATTGCATTAACAGTTAATGCAATTCACAACAATTTCATTGGGTTTTATCAACAGAATGTGCCGCTTTAGATCAGTGTCTTCATTAATTAAGACTGCTTTATAGTTGAAATTACACAATCTAAACCGCCGGTACCATGCATCACCTCAGTTTAATTATCCAGTATATCACAAAGAAAACAAACAATGCAAAGAGCATCATGTAGCAGAGCAGCTTTGTCTGGCTGCCCCGGGACAGCATCCTCAGCCTGCCCATGGTCGCGCCCAGCAGTCCGCCCGCAGAGTCAAAGTCATTATCCTATGTTTAAAGACAAGCAAACAAATAAAACAACAAAAAACACATTACCCTGAGGCAAAAAAGCTCACCCCTAAAGCTTGCCAAGTTTAGTCTTCCCTGTTTTTCTGTAACTAAAGTTATGTCAGAGGCAGTTTCAGACAATTAACCAGGAGAAACTTTCGCCCATTTATCCAGGTGAATGCAAGCAAAAAAAGCATTTATGAATCCCTTGGTTTTTGCTTCCCTCTTCTATTCTTAAATACATTCAAATATAGAACTGCCTTTTTAATAATACTATATTTTTGCTAATTGAAAACAAGTGGTAATATCTGCAGTAGAAAGACCTTGGTTCTGGCTTGGAAGTAATGCGTTTGACAGTATTTCTGTTTCTGAACAGAAATATTGCTGCTGAATTAGTCATATTTTACAGTCAACATTTCAATAGCAATGTTCCAGTGCTTTCCATTACTGACTTCTTAATCCTGCCCCATATTTAAAGAAAGTTAGTGACTAAACACTTACCATTTCTGATAACATCTTATTTTGGTTTTTAACTTCTGTTCCAATTTCAATGGAGAGCTATAAAAAAAAAACAAAAACAAACCCAAGAAGTATTAAATGTGAGTAATCACAAAGATGAGAGAAATCAGTCTAAAATCCCTGACTTGACTAGCTTTTCCCCAGGTAAAGTGTGAGAACAGTACCTGGTGTTTTCAAACACCAAAATAACATGACATTATTCTGTCAATAACCATCAGGGAAGTAAGTATTTGTCACTTGACTGGATGAGTCTGGAAAGTCACAGAAGGTACTCGATGTTCCTCCTCCCCTTGTCTCCATCAACAGGGAATTCCTTATTAGAATTATTGCATGAACTTTCAAAAATTCAAGATCTGGTGAAGTGTAAGTAGCAGTTTTCCATTTCCTGGGACGACTGTTGAAACTACAAGTTGAGCCCCCTGAGCAGCCCTCCTAAGGCAGCGCTGCAGAGCCAACCCCATAACCTGGAACAAAGCTCTTCTGACAAGTTCCTGCAGCCTGAAAATGGGAACTGCTTTTGTGAACCCGTCTCTTCCTTCCTGCTCTGTGCCATGGACAGCGAGGGCACAGCGGGACAAGGAGGCAGGTCAAGTAGGCAAGTGAGGGTCAGCTCAACTCTACTGCTTGACTGGTCCCTATAATTTAATTCAATACATTTCACTGTAATGAAACACTTACTGATTTGATGGCGCTGACTTTTGTACGCAGACTTTCTGTCAGCCCTCAAACTCCAAGTGGAGCCCCCTGAGCAGCCCTCCTAAGGCAGCGCTGCAGAGCCAACCCCATAACCTGGAACAAAGCTCTTCTGACAAGTTCCTGCAGCCTGAAAATGGGAACTGCTTTTGTGAACCCGTCTCTTCCTTCCTGCTCTGTGCCATGGACAGCGAGGGCACAGCGGGACAAGGAGGCAGGTCAAGTAGGCAAGTGAGGGTCAGCTCAACTCTACTGCTTGACTGGTCCCTATAATTTAATTCAATACATTTCACTGTAATGAAACACTTACTGATTTGATGGCGCTGACTTTTGTACGCAGACTTTCTGTCAGCCTTTCATTCTCTTCTTCATAAACACTGTACCCGCTGTTGGTGTAGCCATAGTTGCCAGCTCCATCGCCTGTAAACACAGGAGTCAGACAGAAATCACCACTGGAGCAAGTGCTCCTCACGCGTGGAAAAACACACTTCCCATTAGAATTGCCTTCCCTTAACGGTACCCTCAGCAGTCAGGAAGAGTCACCACTTGTTCCTGAGACAGAGATGCAACCTTTTTCAAATGCGTAGGTTTTCTTTCAATATGCAAATCAAAGGCAGGAAACCAAGGAACGGTTTTAAGTAACTCCTATAAAATTTGGCCCCACACTGTTTTCAGATGACTTCTATGGAAATCAGCCCAGGCATCCCATGGAGATGTGACGGGAGCACTGAGGCCACCACATCCAGCAGTAAAAGCCAACTCAAGGCAGGAAAGCTGAGATGGTTCTCTAACAAAGACAGACACTTGATCACACCCACATTGGAAGGGGAGAAGATACTCTGATCCTTACATGTATTTCTCTACAAACAAGACCTCAGAGGAGGAGCCAGGCCCCGTTTCTGCCACCATTCTGTGGTTCTGGCCCCACTCTTGCCTTTGCTTTTCAGGTGCTGGAGCTTCAGGACTGCAGAGGAAGCAGAGCAGGAGGGAGTGAAAGCTCCTCAGCTCCACACATTGAGCCCGACCTCTAATAAAGACCTTTGCAGACAACAGCTGGACAGCAGACTGGCCAAAGGAGAATTAAAGCCAGGCCCTGTCTAGACAAAAATTCAGTCTTAGGCCTCAAATCAAGGATTTGAAACCAAAGAGAGACCAAGACTGAGAAAAGCAAACAGAAAAGAACTATTATAAGCTTTATGATAAAGATCCTTCTAGATTAATTCAACTATCAATCCACCTATTACATTAATCAGTATTTATAGAGCTAGTTGGAATGCCACACTAAAATTGCCTAAATGCCTTTGGTTGATTCCTCTTCAATGCAATTTTAAGATGTTTGTGCTTGAGTACCTTTTTTTTCTTTTCCAAGGAAAAATGGAGAGAATAGAGACACCAATCGCATTCACAGATAAAGCTCCGTCTCAAACAGTTTCACAGTGTGCTTGGCACACATCGTATTCAGATTTTAAAAGAGGGAATTATGATGCTACTTTCATAATAGATGTAATTTTGTATTAACCCATAAAGCTACTCTTTAAGTGTAAGTAATGACAATTTTTTAGTTTGTTCTTATAAGCTGTTTAAATGTTATTCTAGGAATTAATCTAACAACAAATTCTCAACGAGACTGGGTGAAATGTATGTTTCTATTTCATCACAGCAAGGGTCAATAAGTTACCCCCCCCAATCAAAAGTAGCAAAGCCAAGTGTAAAAAGGTGACTAAATGACATCACTTAGAGTGAGGATTGTTCCCTCTGATTTTTACAAACAAACACATTTCAATACAGTACTTCCTACGAAGTGACGCACAGTTTTGAGTATGTTTATAAGTTAATATACCATACAGCTTCAGGCCAAAATACCCTAACTATGATTATTACACAGGCTCTGTCATTCATACCAGATGTGGATGCTTCTAAACAGGCAGAGCCACTTCTGTGCACTTAACAGGAAGCACCAGGGAGAAGCCTGGCTCCTGCTGTTTTACAGGAAGGACAGCAACTTCAGCACAGCAGTTCTGTGGGCTCTCCTGCAACACTGTCCATTGACAGGACGTGTCATATGGACATGGCCACCTCATCATCACAGGCTAAAAAAGAGCTCCCAGGTAGCTGGTGCCTACAGCAGAAGCACTGGTACTTCTTTCTCCAGCCTACTAAATAAAAGGAATTCTAGACTGACATGAAATGTCAAGGGGAAGCAGCAAATTCTGCAGCTGGCAATGGTCATAACAGACATTTAAGTCTTCTGCTTGACCTCCCAGCAGATTGTTTAAGTTGTTTCAGGATGCTCCTTAAGGCATCGTTTACCAGATACATACTGAGAGAAGGTGTGCTCTTTCCCCTGCACTCCTTCCACAAGCATCCATCGCTCGCTTTTTCACAAACAGCCCCCTGAGCTGGGTGGCCTTCGGTCTAACCCCCCGAGGTCATAGCCAGGAGCGAGACTTCAGCCTAACAAAGACAAGGACTGAAGGCCTAAGTGTTATCAAATGCCCATCTTTGTATGATAAACATCCCAACATCTCTCTTGATCTAGTAAGAAGTGTATCCAAGACTTGCTTTATCTTGTGAAAATGCTATTACGCAACACAAATGGAAAGTGTAGACGTAAATGTAGGGTGGTGTTACAGACACATCTGGATTAGCCACATGGCATTGATCAGCCCCAAAACATTCACTGTCTAGGAAGAAGTACCAGAACTCAGTCATAAATTTCCGAGGCATAAACATTACCAAAGTTGTGAGGTAACAGTGAGGTCACAGCACCCACATAATTCTAGGACATGACACGGGAGTTCAAAGTTTATAGTCACCAAGTTTACAGTCACCTGCTGGCTCACAAACAGGGCCTGAGCTTCCCGGAGCACTCTGCAGGAACCGCAGAGATTTCTGCCTTTGCATCAGATTATAGTTGTAATAAACTGACAACAGCTGGGTGGGTTTTTTCCCAAACATAGCAGGAAAAGACACACAGAAGTACTAAAATTTAAAAAACAACTAAGAATTTGGAAAGGACTTGACTGAAGAATGACAAATCTGTCCATCCATGGAAACAGGGCTCAAATTAACGCTGTGTTTGAACCATTCACAACCACAAATACAAATCCCAGTGCCGCTCCCTAGGCCCAGCTGGGCAGGAAAAACAGAGACAGAAGCGGGGGAACGGACACAACACCTTTCCCACCCGACCCCGAGCCCCGCGGCAGGCCTGAGCCCACCGGCACAGCCCCTCGCTCCCAGAGACACCCCCGGAGCGCCCGGCCCTGCCCACCCGCCCCCGGCAGCGGCTCCCACACGGGAGCACAGGCTGCCCCGGCCCGCCCGGAGGAGCGTCTCGCCCCTCTCTGTCCCCCTTTCCCCCTCCAGCACCGGCCCAGGGCCCCGCCAGGCCGGGCGGTGACACAGGCGGCTGCAGGCCCCGCCGCCCAGAGCGGCCGCGCTTACCCAGCCCCGCGCGCCTCATGGCCGTGCCCGGAGCTGCCGAGGGAGGAGACGGAGGAGGAGGATTAGGAGGAGAACGGGAGCGACCCCCGCACCCGCCGCGCCTGAAGGAAGCGGGGCTGTGCGGGGCGGCCCCGGCCCGGCTGCGGCTCGGCCGCCCGCCTCATTCACCCGCCGAGCGCCACGACAGCGCTCCCGCCGCGCGGCACGCTGGGTACGGCGGCGCCCGCGCCGGCGCGCGGGGGCTGATGGGAGCTGTAGTTCCGCGCCGCCCCGGCGGGGCTGAGGGGAGGCCCGGCCCCGGCGGCTGGGTCCCGGACGGAGGCCGCCTCCAGCCCCGGGGGACGCGGTTCTTCCCGGGCTGGAGCACGGTGCCTGCAGGGCCTCCCTCAGCAGCCCAGGGCACTGACCCAGCGTGGCGTTTCTCAGGGGATAGGGGGGCAGAGCGTGCGGCCCAAGCGCTGTGCCTGGGGGGACAGGGGGGCAGAGCGTGCGGCCCAAGCGCTGTGCCTGGGCCTCGCTGGCACCAAACCCGGCGTGATTTAGCCCAAAGTGCCCCTTTCCTGCGGCTGCCCCCTGGGGCCGTGGTTTCGGGGGGTCGGCAGGAGGTGGGGGCCCGGCCACCGGCTGCAGCGGGTGCTGGTGGAGCAGCTCCATCCCTGTGCCATCCCTGAATAACCAGAGAGTAAAATTGAGGCAGTAGAAAAATGTCTCTCAGTAACAGCTGGGCTGAGTCTCTCATTATCATATATAATTTTATTTACTTTTTTTTTTCATACATCATCCAGGAAAATGATTACATTTGGTGGCATTGCTATATGAAAATATTTGCATACTCTCTCACCGTTCTTTCCCCCTCCCTATGACTCTTGTTCCATTTTTTAATAAGTACGAATTTAGCCATAAATAGGTTAAAAAAAGTACATCTCCCCACTAGGACTGCAGTTATAATTCATTGTTATGGTTCTCATTTTTCATTTTTACTTAAGGTTTTTGAAAAACAAAATCCAAATTAGCCAAAGGTGAGGACTTCACAACTCACAGTGTTTGTTTATAGTCTACTTAGGATGTTTTGAAATAACATATTGAGTCTACACATAATTTATAAATAACATGTCTAATTCTTCGGTTTCTTATAGCAAAGTGTGGAAGCGAAACTGACATGATTAATGTTTCAAATCCATTTTAAATTTCTATTTTTTTCGTACACTGAAAGTGCCCCATACAAAATGTAATTTTATACTTCTCCTGACGTTCCAGTAATGACATGGCAGTTCTGTCTCACAGCAGAGGCTGGGCACAGAGCTCAGCTGTATCGCTAACATTCACTGTGGTTATGTTTTATGTCCATTGATTGTTTTTACTCGTATTTATCATTTCACAGGCTGAATCTGTGAAATTAATGCAGTTTTTCTATTGGTGTGATTAATGGTCCTCCCGTTGGCTTTCTGGCCGGGTCCCTGGGTCTGTGAGCCCAGTCACCAGGTTTGGCTCCAGCTCTTCCTGAGCATTTGCCCTTTTTCCTGCCTGGAAGCCTCAACGAGTAGTCAGCAATAATATTAATATTAATGAACAATTGCTCCTTCTGTTTTTTTCCAAAGAGATCTTTTATAAAAGGGGTGTCCCACATGTCCTACCAATTGTCCAACCACTGCACCATTTTTCACTTCTCTTTACTGTCTCCAATTAAACAATCTGAATACATTTACGTAGCAAAGAGCCCATCTATTTTATTAGTAGGTTACTTCATGGCTCCATCACAAAAGCAATAAAAACCCAGGGAAGCTGTCTGAAAAGACCCTGCATAATCAAACTTCCAATACACAACTGAAATCCCAGGAATCCTATTAACATGATAATAATAGTGACATGATTATCGTTGAATCATTAAATAAGTAACCAGAGTGTCAGTGTTCTTACATGTTTGATAAACAGGTTTTCACAGTCGTCATGATTCACTTGCTGCTTTCAACAATTACAGGCTGTGAAAACAGCCTAACGAGTCACGGGCGTCAGCAGGGAGTTGAAAAGCTGATATTGCATGGTATTACATTAGTATCAAATACTTCAATCACTGTTTTGTTAAGCAGTAAGCTTCAATTATTAAAAAAAAACAATATTTGCTGGTTCAATCTTGATTCATTGTGCAATTAAGTAACAGCTGACGAGACATTTCCAAATAGAAGTAATACATTAGCCACATAGAAGGGGAGCTAGATTAGAGAATATTTTTAATTAGGATTCGGTATCTTCAGAAAGGAGCAATCTCGGCATCTTTCATCAATACCCTGGTTTATTCTGATGCTGTTTAGCAAATCAGAGCCCTCAAAGTGCTCCATTTCCAACAAAATGGAAATGCTCAGATCTCTCAGGTGTGGCCTCCCGTGCCCTGAAAGCTGACAAAACCCCGGGCTCAGGCTGTCTCCAGCCTGTTCTTCCTGCTGCTGTTCTCCAAAGAGCCCCGCCATGGGGAAATGCCGTGGGGAACCCCACCTTCCCTCAGACTTTGAGTGGCTGAAGGGGCTGGTCACAGCGGCTGCTCGGTGCCACCTGGGCTGTCACACAGAGAATCAATCGGGCAAGTCACAAGCGGAATAGTGTGTGCAAGCCTTGTTCAAGTTCTTTAATGATGAGAACGGACGTAAATCACTGCAAGGACTGACAAACCAATCAGAACCAAAAGGATGCAAAACTTCATCAAATCCTGTAAGGAGAGATCCGTGGCAGTTTCTGGTCCTAATGCACTTCCATCATAGATGGCAACTTCTTTCTGGCGTAAGGTTTGGAGTCATCTCATCTCATCTCATCTCATCTCATCTCATCTCATCTCATCTCATCGTGTATTCAAACGACATTCATGTTTTTTATGATGTTCCTTTAATAAGACCCTTACCAGCTATCTGCCAAAATAGCCTTTTGTTGTTCTTAGAAGGTAACCAAGAGGACACTTGTGCAAGACTCTGGGAACTCCTGTTTCCCTTTAATCAAAGCTGTTGCTAGTGATCAGGGGAGCTTCCTTGGACACATGGAGTTGTATTCCCCCTGCCCAGTCCTCCGAGGCCTTTCCATGCACAGGTTCACAGGTTATTTACCACTTATTACTTATAAATACTTCCCATCTCACAGCTCTGCGTGTGTACACGGTTACAGGTTGAGGAATCGTGTAAACTCATAATAAGATTTTACAGCTCAGAACAAAATTGGCAGAGTATGTTTCTATCTAGTGGTGGCTGTAACGTGTTCCATGTTGTTTTCTTCTCGCTGGTTTCAGCATCATTGGGTGTTTCCAGTCACAGTAAATGTCCCACAGGAGGTTCTCGGGGAGGTCGGTTGGTCAGAGATGTGTGAGCAGTGAAGGACTCTCGGGGGAAGGAGAAGCAATACCCATGGCTGCATCAGCAGGAAGCACTTCCTAAGAAAGTACAGCCTTTTTCACCTTTACAGCACTTTTAAAAATTTATTAACAGTGAAATGTATTAACTTTCTCCTTCCTGATATCAGTTGTGTTTGGGAAGTATTGAGCTTTGTATTAGCTCATGGATAATATAATTCAAATATAATTATTATTGACTTAATTGTCGTTGATAAAGACTGTGAATCTGCTTATTCTCTCCATTAGTTACTTTTAGGCAGCATGAACTGCTCCATCTCTTGTTTGATTCTGCACGGAACACACCCCCACACAAATCTCTGCTGTATTTTTATAGGTTTCTTGTCAGTGCTGTTTGTTAAATCACACCAAAATCAAGAAGGGAGGCTCCGCACACCGCGGCTGGTCTCCCTCCTAAATCTCCCTACAGAGCTACAGTCAAAATTTACTCGTCATGGGGAATTTTTGTATTGATTTTGGATCAGGCTATACATTTTTATTAAAAAAAAAATCCAGCTCTGCTGCTTCTTTGTCTCCCAAGTAGCGTGTGCTGTGTAATCTATGAATAATTCCAGTCATGATTTCTCTCTCTAATATTAAGGCACCGTTTCTGATGTCAGCTTTGACTGGGTAATAATATCAGCGGAATGAGTGATAAGGATTCAGAGCCATTGCAGCAGCCTGAGCATTAATAACTCTAATGTCTAAAGAGGAGGACTAATACATTTAAAATAAAAAGTGGAAGTCAAAGTAATTTTTCATTTCAGTAAAACAAATGTCTGGGATGAATGGAGCATACAGTTCCAGTGCTTCCTAAGGTGCAATTAAGCAGTAATTTGATGATTTATGTTCTGTTATTTTGACCTTTCAGACATGTGGGAAAGGCTTTCACCAGTCAAAATAGAGAATTCAACAAAACCAGACTTCAACAAAAACAAATTTCAGTGTGGGGAGAGGTATTTCTCTTTTGCAGCCCTGTATCGGGGCAGAGCATCGTCCCACAGCACGTTTCTCAGGACCAAAGGGGCAGACGTCGTCCCTGGTTCCCGTCCAGCAAGGCAAAAACTGAGACTGTGAGTCAGGATTCCTGGGTGCTGGAGCTGGCTTTGGGCTTGGCCACTGGAGAGTTACTTAAAAAATAAAATAATAATAATAATAATAATAAAATATATAAAACCCAACCCAAACCAAAACAACATCATGTACTTCTTTAATCTCTTTAGTTTTCTCATAGGTCAACAAATCATGCACAAACCAATTTATTTGATGACTAATTAGAGAAGCTAATGCCTGAACATAAATCTGCAAAAGCTCTTGCAAGTCCCTTGTTTTCCAGAAAGACCAGTACAAGTAAATTATGCGTTCGTAGCACCTTTATAAAGATGATTTTCGTAGGCTGTGGCACGGCATGCGGCAGCCGGGCTAATTACCTGTACCGGAGCGTGGTGCTAATGGGGTGACGTGGCTTCCCGCACGGTGGTGGCTCAGTGTTTCTGTACAGCACTACATTATGCCCCAAGAATATATATTTAATTTCTGTATTCATATTGTTTGCCAGATTCAGTGAAGCAACTGGGAAGAAAGTGTAACGTTGTTCTCCATAAGGATGCATCAATGCACTTCTAAGAAAAAGCTCTTTTAAGGCACTGAAAATCTGAGCACCTTATCCAGCTTTTAATGAAGACAGTAACAAAATGTCATCAATTTTTATGCCATGGGATCAAAGACTGAAGTAATTATAGTGTGGAAAGGATCATTAATTATAGTGTAGAAAGGATCATCATATTTCTGAATTAAAAGTCATGGGTTCTTTTCATGG